TGTCTATGGCTATTGTTTTTAAATTCATTTCTTAGAAATGGGAAAGCTTTCCTATTTTTAATAGGATAGCAACCAGTTGTCACTATCAAAATGTAGCAGAGGATTTATTCCTTTTCTATGTTACAGTTCCTTGAAAAATTAATGTTTTTAGAAGTTACTCTACAGACATTTACAGAAAATTATTGGTTTAGCCTGAAATGTATCATGTACATGCGTTGGTTGAACATTTGGGAATGGGTGGTAGTTTCATTGCACTTTGGGAGAACCATTGTCCCATTACATAGAATGTGCTGCCTAGAAGCCCGAATCTGTCAAAAGGTTGATTTGTGGATGCTTCACAAGACAATTCAGCACAATATGCCTGTGATAGGACACTTCTTACAAAATTCATTGAAAGGCTCATTCTTAAGTAAATGCCATTCTTTGCCATCACACTCTTTCCTCTTATATAGCCTTTGGTCTATCATGAGCCCATCTGGATGCCTTTGTAACAGAATATTGTTCCTGGAGATGCTAATTTTGTAGCATAAATGTATCACATATCACCTATCACATAGGTCTTTGTTATACATTCCAAGTGAAAAATTGTTTGGAAGTTATTTCATAATATTAGCAGTCACATATTGGAAAACTAAAGATGAAGTGTGACCATAGTATCTAAGAGCTGAATTGCACCTCCCTGGGATTCCTACATTGGAAGTCCTAGCTAGGACACCTCAGAATATAACTCCATTGGGAGATGAGGTCTTTAAAAGGGTTCTTATAAAAAATGAGGTCACTGGGTTTTGTAGTAATCTAATATGACCGATATTACAATAAGAAAGTTGAACAGGGACACATACAGATGGAAGATCATGTGCAGACCAAGAGAAGACTGTCATTTACAAGCCAGAGATAGAGATCGGAAAAGAAACCAACCCTGTTGACACTTTGATTTGAGGCTTCTCTAGCCTTCAGAATTGAGGGAAAATAAATTTCTCTTATTTTAGCCACTCAGTAGTACTGTATTATGACAGCTCTAGCAAAATAATATACTTCCTGCAAGGGTAAGAAATCTCACTGAATTTTTATTGTGTGTTTAGATGTAGTTCTCAAATCTTGCTATTTAGCTGAAAGGTGTCTTCATAATTGGAGTGAATCCATTAGTAAATAAAACTGCACTGGGATTTTGAAAGCATGTTTGATTTTTTATAAATTACTGCATGTCCGAGAAAGGTGACACAGCCAACAACTGTAATAAATGTTTCCGATTTTAAAAAACACTTTTCTGTTTAAATGAAAGTAAACAGAACAATTAACATTTATTTTTCCCTGATTTAGGCATTAGCTTATTTTAAAGCTAAGTTCTGAGATAGTTGAACATGGGGCTGTGCTACTAAGACTAAATAAGCAAAGTCCCAAGAAGAGTTTATTGTAAAGCAAGAGTCACTTTTATAAAAGGATCGATAAGATTAAGAAACTATATTTTAGGCTATCATGCCATGACTTTTCATAAATGATGCCTTCCATTATAGAAATCTATGTTATCTTAGCATAAATGATTGTAAAAATAGTGTTATGTCATTATGATATAGATTAGTGCAAGGTGTAATAATTCAATTTAAATAAAAATTTCTGTTGGTGTCCCATGATTTGCCATTTTCTTGGCAGCCTTTCACAGCATTTGATTAAAATGGATACAATGTGTGTTATAAATGGAATTATATCCCTGAAAAACTCTTACGTTGAAGCACTAACTCTCAATGTTTTAAGAAGTAGGGTCTTTAAACAGTAAATAAGCTTCAAGGAAATTAGGTGTGTGGTCTCAAATCCATAGAGTTTGGGGAAGAAGAAGAAGAAGAAGAAGAAGAAGAAGAAGAAGAAGAAGAAGAAGAAGAAGAAGAAGAGAAACTAGGTGTATCAGTGCATTGGAGAGCATATGTGAGGACTACAAGGAGAAGACAACCACCTGTAAGACAAGAAGAAAGTCCTCAGGAGGAACCAACTCTGCTTCCACCATTATCTTAGACATCTAGACTACAGAACTATGAGAAAATAAACTTTTGTTGTTTAGGCCACCAACTCTCTGGTGTTTAGCTATGGCACCCTTAGTAAACCAATGCAATGCAGGCCTTACATGTCTGTTGGGAACATGGGAACTCACAAGAAAAAATTTGTTATACTTTGTGAAAAGTAATAGTTTTCAATACTGCTTTCATATTTATAGAAAGTAAACAGTTTGTGTTTATGTTGGACAATATGGGATAAGGTCTGTTTCATACATGTACAAGTTCAGATTATGCAAAGTCACTCATTTATATTCATGCTATCTTTTTTTCTTTTGCCATCATCAAATGTATTTGAGGACAGGAAAAATCAGCAAATAATTTAGAATCCAAGCTTTCAAAAAATGTTTTTGTAACAGAAAAATAATAATCATCAGATATGGTTTTTAAAAGCCTGAAAAACTGCAGTAATATGATATTTATATTAATCTATTTCATACAGTAAGCAATAAAATTGCAATGTGCCTAAGTCATTTAACTGCCCTCTAAAAAATTTATTTCTGAATATGGACTTCCTGTTATTCTGGTAGAAAATTAATGTTTTTCATTAAGTGTTTGTAGACACAAGCTATGACAGTTTTATATAGCTCATTATTTAAAGAACTATTTAAATATCCCTATCTTTTTTTTTCCCATTGAGTTTATTGGTACATTTTAGGTATACAGTACAGTTACATTCATCATTGGGCACTTGTACCTTTACATGACAAGTCTTGGTTCTCATTTTTTTCCCTTACCCCTGCCCTCCATATCTTTAAAGTATAGAGCCAAAAATGGATTGAAATTTTTATATTTCCTGTTAGTAGTGTGGCTTTGGTTTTATATTTTTGATTTTGTATTCGCCAAGATTATTTGTATGGGGGGGCAGCAAGTTAAACAGTTGCCCTAGAAAAAATATTTTAAATGTTTGAAAACACAATACTTAGACTGACTATATGTAATATGGAAAAAAATTCAGAAATATATCGGTTTGCATACCAGGTGACTTAATTTTATTTCAGAAGAAATTTTAGAGAAGATACAAGAATTGTAATAAGTAGCAGTAGTATTTACTCTCTCACCCGTGATATGGCATAGAAAAACAGAATGATACAGGTAAATGATGTTTGAGAGGAAAACGTAGCCATATTGCTTCGTTTCTTCATTACATTCAGAATAAAGTTAAAGTGAATTACAAAGAATCATGATGTGTAATACAGCAAATGCCACTTTGTGAAACATAAGTGATTTTTAAATGTTAGGTTTACAAGTTCAACGAAAGGTTATCAAAGTCCGTCAGGTCTTATTCCAGAACACCAGTTTCTCTCAGCGGTTGAGTGTGGACTTTTTGCAAGTGGCCAGGTGCTCTGCTCAGTGTCCCAGAAGCAGCACCCAGTCCTTCCTGCCCTTGAGCAGTCCGTTGTTCAGGCTGGTCCTGCACGCCAGAAAAGGAAGGCACAGCTGCACGTTTCAGGCTCTGAGAGTTCGTGTTTGCGCTTCCCAGAAGGTAGGCTGTTCCTGTTGTTTCTCCATGCCAGTGCGCGATGCCCTTTCCACATCCTCTTAAATACAAACGTGGCGTATTTTAAAGTTGATCTATGCATTCTAATACATCACACTCAAAATGATCTCATTGCTCTTGGTAAAGCAGTGATCTTCACCACGTTAGAAAAGACAAAAGGAGATAGATGTATTGCAAAAGGGAAGGTGATGATGAAATGGAGGGAGGAAGCGGGGAGGAAGGGGTGGGGAGGGGATGAGGAGAGGGCTGAGATGCGTTATACACCCCTGCCAGCTCCCCACCATGAGTGTGATCGCTATGCACTCTAAACGTGTACTAGTAAAAATAAAAGGTAACAAAATAAAATAAAATGCATGGTGGATAATATTCATTACAAAGGAAAATGTAAATTTGTGTTATGTGAATGGATTCCTGAAGTGTTGAAGAGTTTCGTCTGAGAAGCCCTGAAGGGGGTTTGGGCAGACTGCACAGGACTGCCAGCAGTTGCACTGTCGGTCTGCATCTCCAGATCTGCAGCTAGGAATTCCTTGAATACCTTTTTTTTTTTCTTCTTCAGATTCCAGTATACTCTGAGATTCTGGATGCATGTTCCTATGTTTTAATGCGGTATTTGCTTGCAATGTAGCTTGTAGCATTTGACAGTGGTAATAGATTAGGAAATTCTAAAATAGATGTCTTCTGCCTGAAGTTATTCAGATATGAGACCGCTACATAATTGTTATTATTATTCTTATTCAAATTCTCTTTATGATATTCTGGCACCACCTCATCATCAGTGTTAGTAACCTGTAAAACTTCTGCACCGTCAGGTTCATTAGTTTTTTCATTTTTCTCCTTTTCAGAACTCTGCACAATCACATTATTATTGTCATTGTGATCCATTCCACTTACTCTTTTATGCTTTGTATCCGTGGCTTCACTCAGCTTATCTTGCACATTCATATTTCCTACCTTCTCATCTTTTCTGGCTTCATATATTCTCATTTCTTTGACTCCTGTAAAATCCTCTTTCTGATACTTAGGAGTGGATGGCAGATATGGCTGTAGGAAAGCAGTGTTGTTTGGTTCTTTATTTTCCAGAGTTTTAAAATGTTCTACCAGTGATTCAGTTTTGAATTCAGAGGATAGAGGAGTTGTCACTTTAGGTGGCCATTTAGGCTTGTTCATTTTGAGCTCGCCATCAAAGAGAAAGTCTTTTTTAGGCATCTCCCTGAAAGGAGGCCAAATGATTTTTAATTTTCTTCTTTCGCCCAATTTTCTCAAACCATCCCTTTGCCGTTCACTGTCACCAGCATTGAAATGTTTTGTAAGATCTTCAGGTATGAGAGTGTTTGCTGTGGTGCTTTTACATATACTTGGTTCTTCACTGAGAATAAAGTCCACTGAATTGCTCTGATTTTTGTAATTCCATCTGTCTGTATTCTCTTTGTTTCCAAAACCTTCATCATAATTTCCTTTAGATTTAAAAAGCTGTTTAAAGTGAGGTCTGCAGTATATTTGTCCATGAAGTGATACATAATTTCCCAAACTGCCAGAAAGAAAAAAGAAACAGAGCCCTTTGTAAATTTACTGTAAATTCAAAAAATAAAAGAACTATCTACTTTAGTAATGATTCAGACTCAATAAAGTTAACTTACTAGCAGTTGGAATGACCCTATTAATTTATTAGATAATAGCTACCACTAATACTTCTCATAATATATATCTTGCATGATTTATAATTTTATGATCCATGTCACTTACTGGTATAATATATTGGTACAGTCTATAATGCAAATGCAGTTATAGAACAGTAAGACCAAACCTGTGCTAACAATGATTTATGTGATGGATTGTAGTTTTCAATAAATCTAGAGTAGCACACACACACACACACACACACACACACACACGAATGAAATATGTGAGTTTCATTGTTAGCTGGCTTTTGAATTAATCAAAAAGTTTATTTATGCTATTGTTTATCAAGCTGCAAGGAAATCAAGAAACAGGATGCTTGATACAATTAAAATCATGTTTGCTAGAGGCAATAGCATAATTTTGAGTATCTCTGAATGTAGACATAGAAGCCAACACATCAGATAGATAGCAGAACCCATGGGCAACATTTACAACAAAGCTAAGTGACAAGGTAGCCTGAAGGGGCTAAGAACAAACCACCAATAATAACAAGAACTCCATGACAGTCTTATCTCTGTGTGACATCAAGGGGAGTAAGAAAGATGCTTGATGGATCTGAAAATGAATCAATATTTCCTGAAAGTATCAGAACCAATCAGAAAACAGCACCCACAACTGGGACACATTTTTTTTCCCCCTTCATCTTTCTAGTAGCCAGGACATGCAAAAGTCCTGTGTTAAGAATGACTGAAGAAAATTGTAGGATCATCATGAGAACAGAATCCCAGACTGAAAAGGAAAAGTTGGAGTGGGATGAAGACTGAGTAGGATAATGACAAACATGAAAGAGAACTGGATCAAGATGAAATAGTGCCATAAAATTCCATGAAATCTCAGAGGTATGCCCACACTATTAATTTGAACAGTATTTGCGAAGTAATAGAAGTAGGTCTGAGAAATCAGAAAAGCCACCCTGAATATCATCTATTTTTGCAGACTGGGAAAAACTAATTTCTTATAAAAATAAGTGACACAAATCTATTAAGGAAATTTTAAGCAAGGTTATTTTAACAAAGTGAAAGAGTAAGATGTATTATCCTCACAATTAATGAAAACATTCCACAAAACATACTCTAAGACAGATAAAAAAATTAACTTTGGCTTCCAAAATTAACTAAAAATTAAGAACATGTTATGGGTGTATCTCGATGTCCCTCTAAAGTCTATGTGCTCATGGACATTTTGGAGGTGGCTGAATCTAGGGTGTGATATTGGGATTAAGTGGGTATAATATTGGATTAGTTCATTAAATTGGTTTAGCATACATCTGGGTGTGGATAATGGAAGCCCCACCTTGGGTGTGTGTAGAACCACCCAAAAGCCTCTTACCTTGGCTGGGATAAAAAGGAAAGGGAGGCTTACTGCTTATGGCTTACTGCCCTCTGCCTGCTAGGTCATGAACCGTTTCTCCCCTGTGATGTGCGTCTGCCATGCCACTCTGCCTCAGAGCCAGCCAGCCACGGAAAGGAACCTCTATAAACTATGAGCTAAAATAAACCTTTCCTCCTTTAACTTTAGGATGTCACTAATCTTGTCCCAGAAATGAGAAAGTAATTAAAACAATACGACAAAAAATTCTGAGAGAACAAAGTAAGGGAGAATTAGAAAACTCACAATAACCTCAGATATCAGAAAACAGAAATCAGGAAAAATGGGGAAAAAAAGACATTCTTGGCAATAAAAACTAAAAGAAGCACAAGATCAAATAAATGTCATAGGATATTAAAGAGAAACAAAAGAAAGTAAAGATGAAGTTTTAAATGCTCAAAAAGAATTGAAGAGATGTGAGGAATTAAAGAGAGAGAGAAAGATATTAAAGATACGTTAAAATTGTCAATGTACAAATAATGGGAATTCTCAAAGAAAACAAAAGTAATAAAACATAAAATATTTGAAAGCTATAATTGAAAACAACTGTCTTGTTATACAATAGTATGTAAAAATATTTTGGTACCAATAAAATTAATTCAAAACAGAATAATAAATGAATAAAACAATATGCATGCCTAGAAAGTGCAGATGGTCACTCCTTCATTTCATAGTAAAAAGAAAGAAAGAACACACTAGGTAATTTTCAGTATTGACACTGAATAATCAGTGCCAAGAACTATTCTAGTAGATTTACTGAACTTTAAATAGAAATCAAAAGAAAAAATTCTCTGTACTTTAGTAAAAATATGTCTTACGGGAAAAAGAAACTATATTATCATCAGGCCATTCTAACACTTTATGCCAAAAAAGGAATAATGCATTTAACATATAGTCAGTGAAAGTCAATGCATGCCAAGAATTTTAATTTCAGCAAAACTGACTTTCCACTACAAAGATCTCAAATGTTGTCAGTATGTAAGGATTTAAAGAATGCTGTTTCTGTGAGCCTTTTCTGAAGAAAACAAGCTTCAATGACCAACATGATTATGGAAACAGCAACACGGAGATTTATGGTAGGCATTTGTTTTTGCTACTCTGAACTAAGATGATGCGAGCGCAAAAATGGAACTTTGAGGTGCAGTGGCTGTAGGATCTTACACTGAATGTAGAGTGCAGTATGAAAATGGGAAGTGGTCTAATCTTTATAATTTCCTCCCATGTTCGAGCTTTGGGTTTTTCTTGCTCTTCTTTCTCTAGGAGTCTAAGATTCATCATTAGGTTGTTTATTTGAGCTCACTCTGTTTTCCTAGTGTGGGTATTCACTGCTATGGATTTTCCATGTAGAACTGCTTTCACTGTGTCCCATAGATTCCTGTATGTTGTATTGGCATTATCATTTATTTGTAAAAATTGTCTAATTTCTTCTTTAATTTCCTCTTTGTCCCATTGATTGTTCAGGAGAATGTTGTTCAATTTCCTTGTGTTTATGACATTCTTATGGTTTCTTATGCTATTGAGCTCCAGCTTAATTGCACTTTGCATTTATTTAAACCTGTTGTATGAGCTAGTATGTGGTCTATTTTGGAGAATGACCCATGTCCAGCTGAAAAGAATGTACATTCTGATTTTGTGGGGTGGAACACTCTATAGACATCTGTTACATCCATATGTTCCAAAGCTTGGTTCAGTTCTAGTATTTTGTTGTTGCTTTTTTTGTCAAGATGATCTGTCTATTTGTGATAGTGGGGTATTTAGGTCCCCCGCTACAATTGTATTAGTGCTTATTTGGTTTTTCATGTTCCTTAATATTTGTTTTATATAGTTGGCTCATTAATATTTGGTGCATATATATTTATGATTGTCATCTTTTCCTGTTGAATTGTTCCCTTTACAAGGATTTAGTGGCCTTCCTTGTCTCTATTAATCAGTTTTGGTTTGAAATTTACTTTGTCTGCGAAAAAGACAGCTACCCCTGGGATCCTGTCCCATGGAGAACTGTTTTCCATCTTCTCACTTTCAGTCTATGGGTTTCTTTTTGCACTAGGTGTGTTTCTTGTATACAAAATGTTGTTGTAATTATTTATTTACCCTTTACATTGAGAATATTTATAAAAAATGAGTAGCCTAGTAGAGCAAGTATTAGTGAATATTGTTGTCTTGAAATAACATTTCTCACTAAAAGAAACTAGGGCTTTCAGAAATGGCTACATGTAGGTCTAGGACAGAAAACGTTGAAAATAGCTTAGAATATCTAGTCCTACCAGATAATGAGGGAGTTCTCAAAGATCATTAAGGTCTCATCAAAAGCACTCAAGAAAAAAAAAAAAAAAGATATCCACTTACCAGTGTGTAAATTTAGTAAATTTTTTGGGGGAGACAGGCCTTGATTTATAGTTCAGACTATCCTTGAACTCATTATATAGCCCAGGCTGGCCTCAAACTCGTGGCAATCCTCCTGCCTCAGCTTCCTGAGTGCTAGATTATAAGCATCCACCACCATACCTGGCACATCAGTAATAATTATTATTTGATTGAATTCAATCAAATAGCAATTTTTCTTAAAAAGTTAGTTACCTTCTGGGAATGATAAAGAACAATTACATTACTGAATAAATAATTAACATATTAACTGGTAAATAAAGGGAAAAATTATGATTATTTTGTCTTTCAGCCACCAAAAGTATAAACAAATAGTAGATTAAAGAAAGTATTTCTTTACAAAAGTATTGTAAGAAATGATGAAATTAGAATATCACATTTTTGCAAATAATAAAGAATGACTATATGCATTGAAACTTAATATTTTCTGTGATCACGGAACAAGAGACAATTAGATGTTATGTGTTTATTATCCTCTTGCCACCACTACTTACATATATATGTGTGCATATATATATATATATATATGTATACACATATACATGTACACATATATACGAATATATGTGTATATATGTATGTGTATGTATATGTATATATGT